TTGATGGTTTTGGCCATTGATCATTTTTTTTTGTAATTGTTGTTACAAAGTTTAGATTATATCCTCAATTTTCTTATATTTTAATGTATTTGACCTGTAAAAGCTAAAAACAGTGATAGTGGGAATGTTCCACATGTTACCCTCAGTCCAAATGTATTTTAGTATAATTCTAATTAGTGTTGCTTTCTATATTTCAGTTATAATATTTTATCTATAAAAAGTTATAGCTTTGTTGGAATGTTAACTATGAATATAAAATTAACTTATCTAACATAATAGTTTAAATTTTTCTTTGAAATACACTTTTTTTTCTTCCCTTGGTCTCTTATAAAGATATCAGAGTTTGATTTTGATTTTGGCATTGAACAAGTCTGAGAGCCTTTGCCATTTTATAGAATCATTTAGCTCATTTATGTTTAGTTATATAACATAAGAAGCTATAGTCTTGCAATATGTTTTTACATGCTTGTATCATAATTATGTCTTTCATAATCCATTCTTTGGTATATGGACATTTTATATGCTTATTTTCTCTAGTGTAAACTTTCCATTCTATTTTTAACTCTAGTTAGTTGTTACCAGCCATTCTATAGATGTATTTTCTAAGTATTATCGTCTAGAAAGATGTGATAGCTCTTGATTTCTCTTTGTATAAGATCAGGCAATTTCCATGCCTTTAGTTCCATCATTATCTCTGTCTCATCTCATTTTTCTGACTTTAAAGCATAATTTCAGCTATACTATATTAACAGCTAGTTTTTGTCATGTATTTTTTAATAATCAGTTTTGACATTTGCATTCCATTTCATAACAATATATACAACAATCTTTTACAATTCTGTTTTAAATATATTTTACCAGCAAACCAAATTGGTTCATATTTTACTTAATGAAAGTTTAAAATTATCTTTAAGGAAACTGATTTTTGTTTCTGAGTAATTTTAAAAATTATCAATAAACTTATGTATGCAAAGAGTCAAAAAATATTTCCATTGCCTTCACCAATTATTGGTGATTTAGCTGTTTGTAGAATTCTTGGAACAAATGTATTCTGTCAGAATTCCTCTGCTATTCCTCTTATATTTTCTAGAGAAGCTTCAGGCTAGCCTCATTTTAGACTTGTATTTCTTACAGCATTGTTTTAGGTCATTTTTATTCTCCATTTAATATTTTAAACTCAAATATTCACTGAATGCAGGTCTAGGAGCTGGCTGCATTAACTTGGTAAATGCTTTTGGTCTGCATCCTTAGTTCATTTCCCAGCTCAGTACAGGTTGTTTTTATTTGTTTGTTTGCTTCTTTCATATGCTTGCATTTTGTTTACAACTTTGATTTGTAAATACTTACTATTTATCACTTGACCTCTGTTGTATTTTTCTCAATATCAACAAGCATTCTTATTAAACAAACAAAAATCAGTATATCTTCTCTGTTTAGCTTAGAACTTCCTAGTTTTACTTATCACTAATTCTGTGTGCGTGTGTGTGTGTGTGTGTGTGTGTATGTGTGATTTTCAGTTCTAATACTATGGCTTCTTAGATTAAAAGCTGGCCATTGCAAATTTAGTTATCTTTTAACTATTTCTTTTTAAAATATGAGACACAATTAACATACCATGCAACTCATCCATTTAAAGTGTATGATTCAGTGGGGGTTTTTTTATAGCATATTCACAGACACATATAGCCATCACCACAGTCAATTTTGGAACATTTTCATGGCATCAAAAAGAAACTTTGTATTTTAGTTATAAAATATAACTCCCCTACAACTCTACCCACCACCCCACCAGCCCTAAGCCACCACTAATCTAATCATTATTACAAACTGCCTAGCTGTTTTCCAAGTGACTTCACCACTTTACATCTTTACATTTCCACCAACAGTGTGTGAGACTTCCAGTTTCTCCTTATTCTCAGCAATTCTTGTTATTATCATCTGTGTTTTTTATTACAGCTGTTATAGTAGCTGTAAAATGATATCTCATTGTGGTTTCAATTTGCATTTCTCTGATGACTAGTGCTGTCGAACCTCTTCGCATAAGTTTATTAACCATTTTTATATCTTTTTGGAGAAATGTTTAAGTCATTTGCTCATTTAAAAATTGGGCTATCTTTTTTATTGAGTTTTAAAAGGCTTTTTAATACTGAATACTAGACCCTTATCAGATACATGATTTTCAAACATATTCTCTCATTTTGTAGGTTTTTTCCCCCCACTTTTGGGATAGTGTCCTTCAAAGCACAAACATTTTTAGAATTTTTGTGAAGTTCAATATTTTTGTTCTTTTTGTAGTTTGTGCTTTTTGTGTCATGTCTAACAAACTATTGCCAAATCAAAGTTCATAAAGATTTACTCCTATATTTTTTTCTAAGCATTTTTCAGTTTGAGCTTTTACATTTAGCTCTTTGACCTCCTTTGAGTTAATATTTGCATATGGTATGAGGGATAGGTCCCACTTTATTCTTCTGCATGTGGATACCCAGTTGTTGCTATGCCATTTGTTTAAGAGACTATATTATTTCTCCATTGAATGGTCTTGGCACCCTCACTGAAAATTAATTGACCATAACTGAATGAGTTTATTTCTGGATTTTTAATTCTTTTCTATTGGTCTATATGTCTATGCTATTGCCATGACTATCTATCTTGATTACTGTAGTCTTATAATATGTTTTGAAACCAGGAAGTGTGAAACTTCCATCTTTGTCTTTCTTTTATAAGACTGTAAGATTCCTTTGGCTATTTTGAGTCTGTTGCAATTTTAGAGTCAATTTTCCATTTTTACCAAAAAACAGACTTTGTGATTTTGATAGGTATTACACAAATCTGAAAATTGGGGTAGTATTTCATCTTAATAAATCAAGTCTTCCAATCCATGAACATGGGATGGCTTTCTATTTATTTAGGTCTTTTTTAATTTCTTTCAGTAATGTTTTGTAGTTTTCAGTATGCCAGTCTTATTCCTCCTTGGGTATATTTATTTCTAAATATTCCCAAGGAGGTATTTATTTATTCATTATTTTTCTGAGACAGAATCTCACTCTGTCACCCAGGCTTGGGTTCAGTGGTGTGATCTCAGCTCACTGCAACCTCTGCCGCCCAGGTTCAATCAATTTTTCTGTCTCAGTCTCCTGAGGATCTGGAAATGTAGGTTCCTGCCACCATGCCCAGCTAATTTTTGTATTTTTAGTAGAGACTAGGTTTCACCATGTTGGCCAGCCTGGTCCCAAACTCCTGACCTCAAGTGATCCACCCACCTTGGCCTCCCAAAGTTCTGGGATTTCAGGTGTGTACCACCATACTTGGCTGACTTCCTATTTTCTACCACATCAAGTTTAAAATCCCTTGCTTGGCTTTTAAAACCCTGAGTTCCTCGCCCCTCAAAAAAAAGCTTAAAAATTCAAAAGAAGGTTGGGAATGGGGCTGACTGTTTCTCTCATTGGCAAAGGCCTCATGTCTCTGAAATAAGACTAAACTGTTTATCAGTGCTTCCTGTGCAATAAGCATGTTTCTAAGTGCTTCATAGGTAGGGAATAGAGCCCCACAGCACTGTATTATTACATTTTACAGATCATGAAATGGAGGCACAAAAATGTTGAACAATTTTCCAAGGTCACATAGCTTCTGAGAGGTGAAGTCAGCATTAGACCCTTAGCCCAACTCTGCGTCCCTGGATCCCATAACCTCTCCAGCAATCTAACCTAGTTTAAGTATCCTTTTTCTGCTTCTGTGCCTCAAGGCAAATATTCACTCTGAACATGAATTTCCCTTAGAGTCTAGCAGGCTGTGGACAACATTCCTAGTTTCTTTTGCAGTTGGAATTTTGTATCACATTAGGTGTTTTTGTAAGGGTTTCAATGAGGAATGTGAATTCAATAACTATCATCTTAATTCAGAAGTCCTCATGGAATTCTTTGAATATAAATTTGGTCTGAATGACCCATGCTTATTTTACAGATGAGAAAAATCAAAGTTCTATGTCTCCAAGATACAGAATTAGTTAGGAAAGCTGGAATGAGAACTTGAGCTCGCCCTTACCTGGTTTGTTCCCTGTTGTGCCTTGCCGGGTAAACTCTCTAAAGAAGCTACAGTTCCTTGCCTCTTTCACAAAGTGCATCTTCAAAAGGCTCAGGCAAACTTTGATTTGAATTTTTTAACCTGCTTGATTTCTACTTACATAGGAAAATAGAATGCACACCCTTACCTGAGAATTTCTCAAATTAGGCTGGTGACAAATGCCTTTTAAAGCTCCTTTATTTGACATCCTATTAATTTTTTTTAAACTCCCATTGTTTTGTTCCTGACAGATCTGTTATGTTTCAGATGTGACACAGATGTACACTTAGAGGAAAACTTCTTTAATAAGTGATATTTGCCTCAGACTACTGAGGTTATTTTAGAAAACAAAAGCCAAAGGACACTTACCGGGGCATTCACCTTGTCATAAATTTATCTGGCATATTTAATTGATTGAGAATTCTGGGTTAGACACTTCAACGTGTGCGATAAATTGTTGAGCGTGTGGCATTAATGAAAGGTTTTGCCACTGTCATGGGGAGGAAGCTTCCTGGCACATGGGTGACAGGGCCTCACAGACAATGCTGCTTGGGTTAGCAGGTGGGGCATTTAGCAGCATTTTCTTACATTTGTCCAGAGTCTCATAGTAGACATGTAGACTTGAGGATGGGGAGGCAATATTTGTATCCCAACTAACACCAATTATGGTAAATACTCATTATTCAGATTTGAGTCCTTTAATAAAAATCCCCTCAACTGGTTTTTTAAAGTCAGGCTCTCATGGCAGAGCCAAGCAAGAGAGAAAATAATGGAATAATTGGAGGCTGCTGTCTTTTCACTTCCCACATAAAATTATTTGAAGAGACAGGCCAGAACTTTAAACAGGAGATACCAAGAAAAGTTGTAATTTGGATGTCGGCTGTCATAACTTTAGGGTGTTTGCTTAAAAGACATTTTCCCCACTTTCTCTCTTTCTGCAGACATACTTCAATGACAATATCCTCACCCTGATACGGACCCTGGTGACCGGAGGAGCCACGCCGGAGCTAGAGGCTCTGATTGCTGAGGAGAATGCCCTTCGAGGTGGCTACAGCACCCCGCAGACACTGGCCAATAGGGACCGCTGCCGTGTGGCCCAGTTAGCTCTGCTTGATGGGCCATTTGCGGATTTAGGGGTGAGTCCACAGCACCGAGGTCACCTGAGCTTGTTTGGGAAAAGCTTGGTCACAAAGAACATGGTGTCAGATGTGACAATCTAGGCATCTGTCTTTTCTCTTTCCTATTGTAGATAACTATAAGAGGCAATATTTGTGGCTTACTCTGTGCTCTATGCATAGTCATTCATTTTAATCGTCATGGCAACTCTTTGATATAAAGTTCTAGTATCACAACTTCTAAGTCAACTGAGGCCCAGAGAGAATGAAGACTGGACCTATCAGGAATTTGCAGGAAACCATCATGGCCTCAGAGCCTGTGGGCTTTCTCACTCCTAGGTGTTTTCTTCACATATCCTCTGCACAAGGTGATGCCAGCATGCAGCCAAGGTTGGGAACTATTTCCACAGGCTCTTAGCATAGCTTAGGGCTACTCAACTCAACTATACATTAATAACACATGGAAGTGGTCAACCTCAGCCTGCAAGTCTCTTAGTTTTTATATGTGAGTATGACCCAGGCACTGGTGGTTTTCAAAGCACCAGGGTAGTCAGTAGTCAGGTGTACTCAGAACCACCAGTCAAATGGAATCTCATGTGGATACTTTAATGCCTGTAATTCAAAACCTAGATCTTATAATTTCTGAGACTGGAAATTGTAAGTCACGTTCCCTCAGGCCTTCCCTGTGACAGAAGTGACCAGCGTCTCCCTTCTGATTCCATGCACCTGCCTGGTGTAGGCACTGTGACAGAAGTGTGCAGTCTTTGCCCTTACTCCCAGCCCAACCCCACAGATGCATTCAAGAGGTGCAGCCATTAAGTCATAGAAACTGATAAATCTGTTGCACAAACAATAGTGTTGCCCAGAAAGACTAAATAGTGGAAAAGGAGCCAACGAAAGGATCTGTCTCTGCTTTTTTCTGAAACACTGATGCATACTTGCCCCATTTTTTTAGGTCAATCATGGGCTGCAGCCTATGTTAGACTAGGCTTTTTTTAAAGGGAATTTTCATAGCTCGTGGTTCTTTATACCTATCATTTGCTTATTGATCCACTTGATTAGGATAAAGACTGTAGATAATGGTAAGATTTGGCCCCATCTGTGTTCTCTAATCTGAGGCCCATGTGAGAATTCCAACAATTGGAAGGACAAAGACAGTCATTCTATTCCCAGTGAAGCCATCCCACAGTGCCCAGTGCCCTTCATATAACAGAGGTAACATCTACCTGAAGCCACCTGGTGGCTGAAGCCAGCATTTCCAAGTGGATGCATTTTGCTTTCACTTTATGCATCAGGCCCCAGTCCCTGGAAAGGTGGCTGTGAACTGATTAGAACTGCGAATCCCAGTTATTCAGCCTGCAGACCCCTGGCTCCTAGGGAAACACGTTCTCTTCCACCCTTGCCATCTCTGAGGTCTGTAAATTATGCTTTTCACACGGTCCTTTCCTGAAAGAGTCTGTCACCATAGGACCTGGTGGGGTCCTCCTCCTTGCAGTGGTTTTCATTATCACTCAGGCAGTTTTGACAACACAATCCTTTCACAGCAGTTACAGCTAAGCAGGGGCTGAACATAATCACCATTTTGCAGAAAAGGGTTCGTCTCCTCAGCCGAGCATACATCTGAGATCGTGAAGCTTTACACCTTCACTTAAAGTGAGGGAGAAGCATAGTCTCCTTAGTTTTCAAACCCCATTGCTACAGGTGGAAAACTGGAGAGACAACAGAGGGAAACCCCATCGTTACCCGATTCCTAAAAATCACCCACATTAGGTGTAGGCTGTTAACCATGTTGACTTCTTTCACTGTCATCCCTTGGCACGTGGACCCTCCAGCTCGGGAGACACCAAGACAAGCTTTGATGAAAAGACCCTTTTCCCTGCTGGCCCTTGATTTTCAGGCAAATAAAAAGGATGTTTCTCTCTGTTCTTTTGCTGTCTCCCAGGATGGTGGTTGTTATGGTGATCTGTTCTGCAAAGCTCTGAAAACATATAATATGCTTTGTTTTGGAATTTACCGGCTGAGAGATGCCCACCTCAGCACCCCCAGTCAGTGCACAAAGAGGTGAGTATTTGTTCCAACTCTGCCCTCCCAACTAACCACGGAAACATTAATGTCCTCTCCTGTCCCCTACTGTAAAAGACAAAGGTCTGTATACATCCCTTCAACACAAATTACCCTGCCCATATTAAATCCAACACTGACTTTGGAGGTGATGGGAAACATTTTTTCTATAATTACTAGTAGTAGACATAAAGACATTTTGGTAAGGATTCAAGTTTTGTGTTAATAGATTGATTCCATCACCCAATTACAAAGTCTGAATAGAAGCATCTCCCCAAACTCCAGCTACTAGGATAATTTCGGTTGGTACCTAATATTGAGATATTTCACATAGCTAGTCTTTAAGTTTTTGTGTTTTTTTTTTTTTTTTTTCTTTTTAGATGGAGTCTTGCTCTGTTGTCCAGGCAGCTGGAGTGTGGTGGCACAATCTTCCCTCACTGCAACCTCTGCCTCCTGGGTTCAAGTGATTCTCGTGCCTTAGCCTCCCTAGTAGTGGGGATTACTAGGTGTGTGCCACCACGCCCAGCTAATTTTTGTATTAGAGACAAGATTTCGCCACGTTGGCCAGGCTGGTCTCAAACTCCTGACCTCAAGCGATCCACCCACTTTGGCCTCCCAAGATGCTGGGCTTACAGGCATGAGCCACCACACCCAGCCCTAAAATAAGTGTTTTTTCTGCCATATCTTAGAGTCCTATATTTTTACTTCATATATTTTAAATCGACTCACTTTTTACCTTTTATATATTTATTTTTGAGACAATTGTATATTATCACCTTAAGCAGAAAAATAACAGTTTAGATGTGCTAATTATATTTTTCTCATATGCATTAAAATAAATTCATAGCAGGCAAAAATTAAAAGTACATCCTAGAATTACCAAGATCAGTGAGTTTGCATAATATACCCTAGGCAATAATGCTGCAGAGACAAGTGTTTCTCATCCCTGCTTGCACAGTAGAATCACCTGGGAGCTTTTAAAAAAATATTCTGATTACTCTAATTTAATTGGTCTGGAAGGAAGAAAAAATAATATATGTATATTTAAAAATATGTAAAAATTTTATATATAATGCCCAGATTATAGTATATAGCCAGAAGTGAGAACAATTGCTATAGACCCATGGGTTCTCAAAATTTAGCCAGCATGAGAATCACCTGCAGAGCTTGTTCAACTGCAGATTGGTGGACCCTATCCTCAGCACTTCTGATTCAGTAGGTCTGGGTGGGGTTGCTTAGGAAGTTGCATTTCCTAGTTCCTAGGTGGGTGATGCAGAGAGCCACACTCAGTGATCCACTGCTATAAATGAAACAGGATGATTATCTTAGTCACATCTGCTGTTGACCAGAGAAAGCGCCAACTAATTGTGAAGAACGATGAAGTAGTGCTGACAAGTAGGCAGGGAAGAGTTTTAGATTCTCCCATGTGGTGAATTCTAAATTCCAAATTCTTCCATCAAAGTGGATTTTTAAAAGCAAGGTTAGTCTAAGGGGATACTCTGTCATGATAAACAAAGAACCTGTAATGTATATCTGGGATTGTCAGAAAATTCTGGAATAAAAATGTCATCACGGTCCATGAAAACTCCTGTGGATGGGCTACTTGGAAGTGATTTTGACCTTGTATGGAAAGGTACATGTAGACCAGGAGAAGCAAAGTTTGGTTCTTCCATCAATGGCTCTAATTCTGCATCTCTGCTTGGTCTCCTGGCTGGTCCCCTTTGTTGAGTTAAACAGAGGAAGTTTCCATTTAATGAGGAAAAGAATGTTTAAGGCCTTGGACCAGCTAGAAGTTCTTCTTTCAGATCCTTTGAAAGACCTGAGCAAACAGCCATGGCTTTTGGTTCAGGGAGTGTTGAATTCTTCACTTAGTTACTCTCAGGCGTTGACATCTGTGCTTTCCCTGTCTAGGTATGTCATCACCAACCCCCCCTACGAGTTTGAGCTCGTGCCGACGGACCTGATCTTCTGCTTAATGCAGTTTGACCACAACGCCGGCCAGTCCCGGGCCAGCCTGTCCCATTCCTCCCACTCCTCGCAGTCCTCCAGCAAGAAGAGCTCCTCTGTTCACTCCATCCCGTCCACAGCAAACCGACAGAACCGGCCCAAGTCCAGGGAGTCCCGGGACAAACAGAAGTACGTGCAGGAAGAACGGCTTTGATATGTGTATCCACCGCCACTGTGTGAAACTGTATCTGCCACTCATTTCCCCAGTTGGCGTTTTCAACAAAGTAACTTTCCCTGTTTTCCCCTGTAGTCCCCCCTTTTTTTTACACATATTTGCATATGTATGATAGTGTGCATGTGGTTGTCATTTTTATTTCACCACCATAAAACCCTTGAGCACAACAGCAAATAAGCAGAAGGACCAAAAGTTATTTATGATTCTAGGGGAAAAATAACCCAAAGGCATGCTCCAGACATAAATAGCTCACTGCAGGAATGAGTTCACAGATTAGAAGGGAGCACTTGTGATCAATGTCAGTTAGGCAAAGCAAGTTTATTTAATGTAAAAGAAAAGTTGATTCTGATTTATCAGGATTATCAGGGTGCTTTGGGTTTTGATTTTGTTGTTGTTGTTGTTGTTTTCCTTTCTTTTTTTTTATACACACAGTAAGTTGGCACATGTTTATTTGAAACAAGCAACCCAACGGCAATGAAAATGTACTGATTGTTTCCACTCTCTGGGCCAAAGTATTGCGAAGCATTTGAAAGGCTTTCACGATTTGTGTTGATGATTATGAAGGGCCCGCTTGTTGCAAGCGAACATCAGAGATTTTTTTTTTTTTTTTAGTTACTCACCAAGGCCTTTTGTCCCAGAGCCAGTTTCCTCTGGGAGTTCATATGAACATTTCTCACCTTAATATAGAGGAAAGAATAGTATTCCATTCATGGATGTATCAAATTCTAGTCATTTTGTTTAAGTGAAAAGAGGTTTGATTGCATATTAAATTGTTATTCTGTCTCCTTATGTTGCCATATGAATAGCTATTTTTTTCTTTCACTTTTGACATTTGGGATGAAAAGCCATATGTATCATAAATATCAGATGTAAGTCATTAAAAACTGCCTTCCTGGGACTTTTACATCTTTTAAAAGGTGAATTACTTACCTTATGTACAGAATAAATAATGCTCAGGAAAGAGCAAGTATTTTTCCATGCATTCTCAGGGGATCTTTTTACTCCCCTCGGTTTGATTAGTTAGGGCCCCAATGCCAGGTAGGAGGAAGGGCTGGGGCAATGGTAGAGTCAGAGGAAGACAAACCCATCTGCGGATCATGTTTTTCTAGGAGCTGACATGCTAAATAAATTTGAATGTAGGAGCATCAGCCACAGTTGACTCAACAAAGACAAAAGCCAGCCACCACCTTCAACTGCTGGCGCAGCTGCACAGCGCTGGCTGTCCCAATGCAGAAAGCTGGTGGGAAAGAATTCCTCATCATCACTTTCTTTAACATAGCCAATTTAGGCAGGGTAATGACGACAGTAGAGAGCTGCTCCTTGTCATTATGAGACGTGGGATAAGAAGAGTGCAACAGTGAGCCAAACTCATTTTGGTATAGTTATTTTTTTCTTTTGTTTTCTTTCTTTCTTTCTGAACAGTTAGTAAGCATGAGAGGAGAGGTAGAAAAATGCCCCTTTTTCAACATATAGTTGCCAGATGCTTTGGGCATGCAAATCATGCTTTAGGCAGTGCTATAGTTCTTAAAAATTGGCCAATTCACCATAACCGATTTCTCTTACGGCTGAAATAGCACTGGGCTGGTATAAATTCTTGAAATGTTTAAAGAATTCCATTGAATAGAATAGGTGTAAAAGGGAGGAGGAAAACATGTCACAGCTGTACCATCTCTAAAAAGGTGTTTTTATGGTGAATGTTTTGGATTTAGATTTTGGATCCCCCATCCCCTCAAGCATGATAGTTTTGGAGATTTGCTTGCTGTGTGAATTGACAAGCACTTTTACTGACAAAATGGTGAGGCTCAATTAGAACCTCCACCCTCCCCCACACCAAAGACAGGGGCAGTGTAGTTTTCAAACCAGTATTGTGGTGGGGAATAATTGTATAAATGTAAATTAACAAGCCCTATGAGTGGAAGAATTTTTTCAAATTATTTTTGTCTCTCTATATATTGATTTATATTATGTATAACTATCTCTTTATATAAAACTATATATATAACTATATATATATAACTATATATATATAACTATATATATGTATCCCCTAGTATTGGATCATGAAGAGCTCTTCATGCATTCTTTGCAAAGGAGGTTATAAAGTTACACCCTCAGAACATTTATAACTATAAGAATGTGCCAGTTAAAGTGCTCAACAGGAAATATGACAGTTTAAAAGCATTGTAAAACTCACATAGCTTACTTCTCTCTCTAAAGTGCAACAAGGATGAATAGAATGGGCCAAGGTATGACAATTAATGGTTCTGCATGACCTAGCCACTGCTGTGGGTTTTCTCCTATAACGTTGTCCTTGTGAAAACTTTTGTGAAATTAAAAAAAAAGGAGTTACAAATTTTATTCTGTTATTGGTTTGTTTATTTTTATTTATATTGTTCTGTTTGTGATTTTATTTTATTTTGTTTTGCTTTTCCCTCTCCCCTTTTCCTCCCTTTTCCCTTCCTTCTTCTCTTCCTTCCTTCTTCCACTTTCTAAATTGCTCAGCGCAATGAGGCTGTGCTGCTGCTATTGCTAGATTCCTTAGAGTTTGTTTTGGTGTTCTTGGGTGTGGGGTTGGGTAATTTGGGGGGAACTTCTCTCCATCTGGCTTGCCTTTTAATCTGCACGTGGCCTCGCTGCCCACCCTGGTACCTTGCTCCAAGTCTGAAAGCATTTTCCCATCAAGAAACCCAGCTTCCTTCACTTCCCCCATTGCCACCCCCAACCCCAGTTCCCCCATCAGTCTGTTCACAGCTCTGTGTTCATCTTGGCAAGATCTACTCAATCAAGTGATGATGCCCGTCGAAAAACTTTTCTGGAAAACATTTGCAGCAATTCCATTTGGCAAACTTGCTTCTCTGTCAATATTTTGTCCTCCTTTTATTTAAACCAGGAGGGTTCTTAATGGCAAAAGCATTGGTATTCTTTATGCTTGATCAGTATGACCCAAATTAAAACTGTTCTGTTGTGTATATCAACTCAGTAACCCAAACCCAGTTATATGGGAGCTGATGGTTTAGTCACTGTACTACCCAAATCTCTCCTGCCACCTGCCTTTCAGACATTTGTTAAATCCCAACCAGAGATTGGGCAGATAGAGAGAAGTAAATCGGAAGTGCGCTTTACATAGAATCTGTTTGCAGCTCCAATGAGGATACTGTGGTGGGAATGGAATGGGAACAGACTATGACATGAGATGGAATTTTGAGGTTTTCCTGGACTTTGGGCACACAGTCATGCCCCACTGGTCGATGACTGAGAATTGACCATACTTGAGTAATGATAAATTTGATGATGGAGAAGGATCATCATTACTTCGATTTTATTTGCCTAAACAGCTGTATTATACTTTCCTTAATAGAGTGAAGAATCTCCTCCATTATTTTCTATTTGACTCCAAACTTCCCCTTGACTCCCCTTTTCTATTTGACTCCAAGCTTCAGTAGAAATCTGCTTGCTTAGAAAGGAGTCATAGAAGTTTTTCATTATTATATCTCTTCCCCTTCACTGCCCTCTGCCAAAAAAAAAATAAAAGAAAAAATGGGGTAAGGGTGGAAAGTGAAAGAGTCCTTTGAAAAGAAAGTATATACTTTTTAAAAGGTAGGAACTCCATTATTTTCACCATTCTAGAAGAGAAGCCATTTGTAAGCCATTTAGTCTAGTTTGCTTTGGGCTTTGAAAGGGGTGAACAGTAAGTTGCCTGGTAAATCAGAAGGCACAGTGAAGCCTTCTCAGTCTCAACACTAGGGTGATCATGGAATCATGAATGTCTCTAAAGACTGCTACCCAGGTTTCTTCCCAAAGCCAGTTCAAATGGATAGAGAAAGCTAGACTTTTATATATACAGTTAAACTTTTGCAACAATTGGGAGAGGTTTCAAATTCTGTTCAGAATATTAAAGGTTATGACCCAGAACCTTACCATGGGTGCTCAGTATTTGATGTGAATTGACTTTACATATTTTTATGCCTTTAATCATTTTCTATATTACCCTTGTTCTCTTGGTTTATTTTTTTAAAAAGATGAGTGCCTTTATGTGCCTCATGATGCCGCTGTGCTGGTGGCACTTTCTCATGCTAGTCACACAGCTTCTGAGAAAGGGGAATAGCCCTGTAAGCTCAATGAGTAGAGAGACTGACTGTGCCTCTTGGCAGCATCGTCAAGATCCCAGATGACCAGAAAAACCTTTTGCCTGGCTCTTCTGCAGCATGGCAAAAGCCTAAAGGTGTCTGCATCCCGATAGAGACAATTAAATCAACCTGCCAGGTTCCTATAGCAACAGGCTCCTTGAAGGAGAAAGAGGAGAGTACAGAAACTCCAGGGCCTATGGAAGTCAAGACAGGGTAAAAATCAATTTCTCAATCAGCTTCTTTCAGCCCATCTCTGCTTTGTCACAATATGATAAAGAAGTAGCTGTGGGCACCTGTCACTACACTGGCTGACTGTCTCCCATGCAAGATTGCATGCCCATTGCAACCACTGGAGGTGAGAGGGATTATCCCCTGCCACCAGGATTAGTGAAGAGTCTGTCTTCAGGGTGTTGGCTGGACCAAGGGCCACAGAGAAGAGCTGGGAGAACAGTTCGTTCTGCTCAAAGAAGGCAGCATCAGACTTTCAGTTAAAAGATGGAGTCATGGTAGGCAATTGCAAAGAAGTAAGAATATTTTTCTTAAACAGAAACTGCTTTTTTCTGGCACAAATAATTTTTTTCTCTAAGAAATAGGCATACTTTTCCCACAGGAGAGGAGGTGGTATGTGTGGGTGGTGGGTGGGAATGGTGGAGGCATCAGGGTTTGCCCGGCAGAGGAAGTATGTCAGGCTGCCTATCAGAAATGCGGGACTAGAAACCACACAGCTATTACCCTTGAAGGTCGGAGCACCCTGTTAGCCCTTATTGTTCTCCATGGTTGTCTCTCTCAAAGCAAAATCTTTTCTTTTGAGCCTTTTCTCTCTCAACCTCAGTTTGTGGTGTAGCGAGAAGAGGGCCAATTATCCAGATGTTTTTGCTGTATCATTGTCTCCCCTTTTCTGCGATCTTCTCTAGGGAGTAGTTCTGTGAAAAGGCTAACTCCCACAGCACTGACAACCCACAGAGCCAACAGAGAAGCTTAATTCTGCCTTTGCAGCCCGTTTCTTCTTCTGCTGGTGGCAGCTCAGTCAGCCCAGCTCTGGGGGCCTTCCCTGCAAGAGCCCACTCCTCCAGGGTGACCTGTAGCCCTGTGGCTGCAGGAGGTTTTGGGCCTTATTTTAAACCCTGTGATCTCAGTGATGAAACTAGAAATGCAAGAAACAGATGGTTCTCAGATGGGATAAGATGCCTGGTGAGTGAAAGCCAGTATTTCAGAGACACAGAGGCACCCTGGGAAGGGAGGAACCCTCAGCTCCCCAGACATAACACTGGGTTACCTCTTCTTCTCTTTTACATTCCAAATGAAGATGACCAACCAAATCCCTCTCTGTCACCTCTGTTGCCACAATCCGTGCTCTTCAGGATACACCCTGATACCCACATCCCTGTTCTCTACCCTCAGCATCTCTGCTGAAGGGCATCATTTATCATCACTTTCAATAGGTATCACCCATGCTTACATCATCCTTTAGTACTGATAGTACTCAGGCTAGTACTAAACTTATTCTAAAAGCTAACACTTCAGCAACTGCCTTAGGCCAGGCACTCTCCTAAGCACTTTTTAGTTACCTATCCAAATTCAATCCTCACAAGAGTTTCAGATGGAGATGCTGTGTGTCCGTTTGAAAGATTCAGAATCGGACAGACACTAGTCTGTGAAGTTAGCCACTATGGTATAAATGCCCGCTGATATTATTAATAATACTAATAACCTTATCTATTCACATTTACTTGCCATGTATCTGGACCTGTGTGTTTCAAGGACACTAGCTCCATCTATCTAAACAACACTATTAGGAAGTTTGTATCATCAGCCGTATTTTACAGAAGAGGAATGAAGCTAAGACAAATTCTGTAATAACTTGTTCAGAGCCACACAACTGGTATGTTGTGTAAGTCTGCTTGACTTTAACCTCCTGCTCTGCGCTGTCTCCTTAGCCCACATCCCCTTGCCTCTTCCCGGTGGACAGCTCATAGCATGGCTGGTCTTGATAGGTGACATCTCCCAGTGGCAGTGGCAATTGTTCTACTAGCATCTCTCTGCAGCTGTTTTCCAGATTTTTATCTTGTCCCACTAGCCCCCTCCCAGTCACAGACTGAAATGCCTCTTCTTTCCTAACTTCACGAACTCCTGGGACTTCACACATTGTACTCAGACTGCTGACAACAGGCATTTCATTCTTAAGAAGCTTATTAACAAATGAGGCTATTTTTCTCCGGCAGTGAGGAAGCCCTCCCAGCCCGATCAATTGCCCTTCTCATCTTAGCGATGAAAATAAAGCCCCTGGAAATCTTTCTGGCATGTGAGATGAAACAGGGAGTGGAGATAAACTCAGGGATTTGAATTTATCCTTGACCATGCAGCATTCATTAGAACTGCTTCCCTGAGTCCTCTTCCTCGTGGTCAATTTTGTAGCCACCTATTGGCATTGTTTCTTCCTGGAAAGGCAAGATTCAATACATCAGATTGTCATTGTCCTACTTGAAGCACTCTCCTTGGATGCCGAATGGCTGGTGATCATGGAAATGTGTCTTCCTTGGAATCATGTTGGGAGAATCTCTTTGTAAATACCTTTGCCACCAGACATTTCAGTAAAACACCCAGAGCATTCGTATATTTCCATTTCCTAAACATCCTATGTAACTGAGTCTCCAAGAACACACACATTCGTCTTAGGAGGCACCCAAATTAAACAGCTGTTTCTCAGGCATAAGGAAGACCTCAACTCCTCACTACAGTGTGTTTTAACACAGCCTGCTCCTTGTGTTGAAGCAGCGTGGCCAAAACATGGGCTACTCTGCTTAGATCTTTTTTTAATGGCAAGAAATGTAAAAGGAAAGAGAGAAGCTTAAATGGGGGAAATAATGCTCTCTTTCTTACAGACAGCAGAAGGAAATTGATATTCTCTCTGCCGTGGAAGGTCAAAATGCCAACTTTGAATTGAACTGTAAAGACTAAATTCTGAACAATTATTCTCTGCAGCAGTTGTAAAAATTTCAGTAAATTGCAGCTGTCTTAGGTCTTTCACCCAAAAGACCTACTCATTTCCATCAGCTGAGTTCACTCTTCCAACCTGGCATGTCCAACCTAGCACTAAATCCCTTTGCAAAATTGATCTGCATAACAGCATGGCCAAAACCGAGGGCAGCTCAGGCAACCAGAGCACAAACACCAGGCTCAACCTCTCTGAAAATAATCTTTACACATAAACCGCTGGAAAAAGTAGTAGTTTGAAATTGTTTCAGCGGCCTGGCAATGCTTTTAAAACATGATAACCATCACACTTTACTTCTCTCTGAAAGGTTAGTTTAATCGTAGATCACAAAAAATTGGTTTCCACAAATGCATAATGGTTCATCTATGTCACACTTGAACTAAATGGTTTTTTAAATGGAGCTGAAATTATTTTGATGTGTACACAGTCCCAGATTTCTATACAACCTTTTTTAACCAGCCCATCAGGAACCTTGCCTCTAAAGCCTCATTAATAATTCAGATGTGCTGATGACTTTAAAAGATCTATGGAATTGAAGCTTAGGGAAAAAAAAAAACTCTGCTTGACAAAAAGATAAATGAATGTAGAAAGAAGCTGTAGGAGTCTGGCAAGCTGTAGATCATCTCAGAGCAGATTGTAACTTTATCATTCTGTCAGGGGGAATAATTTCAAGCACTTAATCAGTTAGCTTCACTGTGAGGATATAGCATTATGAATTCCTATCGTCCAATCTGTTCAAATCAAAGTGAACTTAATTATAATAGGTGAGTGAGCCAGAGCAGGAGGGGGGTGGGGAGAATGAGGCAAGAGGTAGCAAGTTTCCTGTGGGGTAAACTGAGCTGCTGTATAAATGGGGGTGGGGGGTAGCGAGGCTTTGACTCAGTCATATCCCAGCTCCAGCGACAACCCTCCTTGACACTGACAGCTCAGAGCACTTGAAAGGGCAGAAGTAGGAACTCAGAAGAAACAAGCAGAGTGGTCATGAGCTGATCATAGATGCTTAATTTATAAATCATTAGCCAAACATGCACATAACCCCTTATTCCCCCTATCAAACCAGGTGCGCAGTCTTCACTAATGTGTCCATCCAGGACCACTGACAAGGCAATTACCAATTGTTCTGGTAAGCAGAAAAAGCAGCTAGAGAGGCCATTGTCTCTATAGCAGTGGACGTGGTTGATAGCTTTTACCCTTTTTCTTTTTCTTTTCTTTCCCTAAGCCACTAAAGTGAGGCGTATAATTTCCAAGTTAGAATGTCCTATTTGCCCAGTCCTTTCCTATCTATACACATGGCCAATTTCCCAGAAAATTTCAATCCTAGAGAGAGGCGGGGATGAGGGTTGAGTCTTGTAAAATAGCTCTGCACTGCTAAGAAGATGCTAGACCATTCTCATTCTCACCCCAGCCCCCGAATGCCCTGACTCAGCATTCTCTCTCAGCCATTTCTGCATTTAGGGTGGAAATGAAATGCCAAGACTTTATTGAGCTCCCTTGTTGACAGCTTGGGTTATTATAGTCAGTTAAGATACTGCCACTTGGAACTCTATTCATAACTTTATACTAACACAGAGTTTTCTTTCTTGAAATAAAAGCCACCTCAAAATCCTCTTTAAAACATTGGTCACTATTCTGATTTTCATAGATTTTCGGCCAGCAAAATCTATGGGTTTGAGACCCCCTAAAGTGGCTACAAATGAAACCGGAGTGTGGTATTGTTGAGACGTGGCTTTAAGTGTACGTGTTACAAGCAAAACCAAGAAAAGGCTGGGAGGTGGTGATTCTGCATGAGATTCTAGATCACTCCCTCTGGAGCAAGGGTGGTGGTGACCTTCCATGTTTCACTGAAATCAATGGACGAACACATCTCTCCTCAAGCACAATGTCTCTACCCAATAGCTGATACATGCAACATCCCCTCCCCACCAAACCTTTTCTGGCCACGAAATTAACTCCAAGGAACATTGCTAGAGTCCATTGTCGAATCCCTCCTTAGCCTCTGAGGTCCACCCATGGTGCCTCTCAGTCCCAGTGGCACATTTTGTTCATCACTTGCTACAGGAAGCAGAGGTATGTTTCAGTTCTGGGGTCCTCCCACACTGCACTGTCTCTCTTAGCAATGACTCACTGTCAGTTTCTATCGATTACCTTTTTGCATTTTTCAATGAACTTTCCAAAGGCTTTATCCTAGGACTAATTAAACTTCTCATTTCTCCTTCTTGTTCTCTACCCGTTTTGCCCTTTAGCAGAAAAGAAATGGTTTACAGATGAACCGGATAATGCCTATCCCAGAAACATTCAAATCAAGCCCATGAGTACCCACATGGCTAACCAGATCAACCAATATAAATCCACAAGCAGCTTGATTCCACCAATCAGAGAAGTTGAAGATGAATGTTGACTCCCAGGAGACCAGAACTATTTTTTTAAAGCCTGACAAACTTCATAAATGGTGATGTGACTTTTATTCTTACATGCTGAATCACTGGTGGAAACGTTAGGATAAGCAAGAATTGCCAGAAAATAAAGTAGACAGATCTTTCTCTTTGTCTGCCTTGAATATTGCTTCCATGTATTTTGGAAAAGAAAATGATTTCATTTATAAATGAACATACTAAAATAGTCATGTATAGCCTCTAGCATTTTAAATTATTTTTATTTATTAGAAAGAAAATATATTTTTCCTTTCTTTTCATTGTCAAATATCTTCCCTATATCTAAACAATGCAAAATCTGAATGAGTAAGTGGCCAGACTCCTTAATGCGTTTTTCTCTTCTTTCTCCCTTTTTCTTTGAGGAGAATGATGGTCATCACCACAATTAATTGTAATGAAAGGAAATGAATTATTAAGACAATTTTAAAATGGCCAATGATGTATACATGTATTTTAGTAAATCAAAAAAGGAAGCCTAAGGGGTCAGGTGAATACCTGCTCCTCGCCTGGATGGGTGTGTATTTTGATCTGCATTTACACCAGCTCTTGATAAATGGAAACTTACTTATTTTCACAGTTGAAAGTCATATTTTTGTAGTTTTAGTTCTCATTCTGTAGTTCTCACCCCTTTGTTCATAGTTTTAAAGGGAAGTCCTTCTTGCTGCTTTTCTACAATTGGCAGATGAGGTTTGTCTGGCCAACTAAGGACACCAGGAGGGTTGTGGGCACACCTGGGATGTGGAAGCTGAGGACCAGATGCATACAAGGCATAGCTCTGTTTTCTGTTCTAGTGGTGGGGACTCTACATGCTGTTATGCTTCTCATTTCATATTTCCAAACCACCTGAGTGAGTAATGTCAACTTCAGGAGGGTCTGGTGGACTTTCTCCCCACTCCCCATGTCTCAGAGCTTTTAGCCTGGATGTTTATAAAACTGATCCATAGTTTTACTTTACCATAGGATATAAGAGGGCATTCATTCTTCTCACTGAGTTTTTGTTTAAAAGCCAGGACATTTCTATACTCATGGAGACAGATTTTGATTTACATGCTCTCCTTTATTTAGTTGCTGGGGCCAAACACATGAACTTGTTACAACAATTTAAAAAACAATAACAAAAGGAAAGCAATGAATGCACTTCATATAGACTGTTAGAAAAGGCCTTTGAAAATTACCAGCAGTGAAATCAAATATATCAGCCACTTTAAACTGGGGTCAAAAGATTTTTCTAGCCATCCGATGCAATTACTGTGTCTCAGAGCTCTGCTGTCACTTGCATGCTCGGTGTACAGTTTCCCGGCAACTGTTTTGTTCCAATCAACTTAGCAAGTCTTTCAACTTTAAAATTCTCAGTCTTTGATATGATCATCAAGGTCTCTGGAGAAGCATGGATGTGATAGTGATTTCTATTTTCTTCAAAAATGTAAACTGTGGACGCTTAAAGGATCCAAGCTAGCCAAAGTATCCCCCAAAAGTTTCATATCTAGTCCATTAACTCTTTGGGCCATGACCTGTGGTACCTAGTTAAGTTAGTGCAAATCAGATCAGAGCAAAGTAATGAGATCACCATGAACACATACGTCCACTAAGTACTCCAATTACCAACGTAGGCAAAATGAGCTTCCACCTCTGTCCACTCCCTGCAGAGCCAATATAGTCGTGCTTCCACCTCGTAGGCATTGTCCTGCAGTGACTTGTCGGACTGTGGTTACTCTGTCGTCACATTTTGTAGAATTAGTTCTATAAAAGTATTGTGAATATAATGTATGTCCAATTGGATTGTTTAAAAACTACTTATAATTAATCACTAGCCTACTCAGCAGACTAAAATGACGTCAACAGTCTATATTCGGGCTTATAAACATTTCTTGGTTTCCAACAGAAGTCAAATGTGTTTGTGGGGAGAACCTCTTGCTAGGATTTTGACAACTTTCCTGAAAGCTAGGCCTTCTTTTACATAATGATTTTGCATTGGGGTCACCTTAGTATATTCACGTCAATCCACGCTCTTCTTTCCTTCATGAACCACAATGGGCTCTTCAGTCCTGTTACTAATAACCACCTTCGGATTTGTCTGAGCGATTTGGTATCCTCTGGCAGGCTGTGGTGGCCACATAAGGAATCTTCCATTAGAGGGACACAAGACACAAAGCCCCCTTCCCAGTATCCTCTCTTCCCTGTGTCTCCCCTACCAAAGCAGTCTGGAAGCAGAAATGTAAACTTCAACCCCGTCACACATCCACTGATGCATTTGTGGCTAGAGATTTGAATTTAAACTTTTAAAAAAAAAACATAATAGGGAGGATTGTTTCCTACAGTAACGAGCTCCTTGATTCATAAGCACCCCCCCGAAAAATTGGTAGAAATTCATTTTCTTTTAAGTAGAGCAATAAGTTCATACTGTGTTGCCTTTGTAATAATAAATTGTTCTGGACTAGAAAGCAAAATGAGGCATTTTGTTAAGGAAAATGACTGGTTGGTGGGCCCTTTGGCAAAAGCTGATGCCTGGTAAGTAGAAATCGAAATGGAAACATAAATAAGATTTGTGAAATCACTGGAGGGCTCAAGCACATGCCAGAGCCTCTTCTGACTTGTTCCTACCCTTTGAGCACTTTGGCCCTGAGTCCCCTCCATCTCCACTGTGACAGTCTGTCTTTCGGCCTCCATCTATATGAGACCAAAGAGGGTCTTCCTTGGCACAGTCCATATTATGAGGCTCTGATTTCCCATTCCAGTTTAGGGCTCCAGAAAAGCCATTTTCCCAAACTAATGATTCTTGGGTGCTGTGGGAATCAAAGACTCACCAACAGGGTGTTTAAAAAGCAGAAAATGTCATCACCATCATCACCTTTCTCCTTGAGAAAACTTACATTTTTGTCTAAGCAAATTTATATTTTAGAATAGCATCTTGAGCCATTAAAAAAACACCTTAAATAAAAGTGACTGTGACTAAGGCACATTGGAGAACATTCCAAAATTCTTTCCTCCCAATTGTTCTGGCACCTTATTATGTACTTTGTAAAAAAATTAATTGAAGACTTTAAATAGGAAATTAGAAGCGTTTGTTAGGGTTGGATAAAGGAAAAGTGAGAAAGCATAAGAAATTTGGGATATTTTCATGTTGAAAGGAGAAGAGGCACAAGTTCCCTAATTACCATTTAATATGACGGTGCAAGAGCCACATTTACAAACAACTATGAACTTTGAAAATGTTTTTAAAACCCTCTGAGTCTTGGTGACTTTATTTGTAAGTGAGAGTGACGCATTCAGATGACTCTAAAGTCCCTTTCAAGTCCCAGGGTACATGATCTAAGTTGGGAGTGGGAATATGGGAGTGGCTACCTCTCCTTGGCGAAGGCCTTGGCGACTATTGTATCCAGGGCTGGAATAATGGTTCTTTTTGCTGCATCACCCAGCAAAACTCCTGGCCTTATTCAGGAGTAGTGAGCATTCATTTTCTGCTCTGGACACAGAATAGTTAGGTTCATTCCTGTGCTTTCCACATTAGAGTCCCTTTAGGTTCAAGATGCAAATTTCTCAATTCAGACACACCTGAATCACGTTGGTCAAATTTTACTGTTTCTAGGATTTTCTTCTCAATTTCAACACCGCCTTCACTTTTTTTTTTTTTTTGGTTCAAGGCCCAGCTTCAGTTAATTCCTTCATATCTATTTCATGTCTCCAATTCCTAGTATGTAATTAGGGGTTTCAAGAGACCCCAAATTCCTGCCATTTTCCCCATGTGCAACTGGTCTTCAGGATGTAACCAGTCTTACTTCCCACGTCATTTCCTGTTCTCTGTTTATTTGGTTGTTTTCTTTCATTAATAAATTAACCATCTCTTAACTACTTACATACATAAATATAATTTTAATCTATTGAATTTTATTGTCAAAGAGAACCTCACTGAAGGAAGGAAGGGGAAAATTGAGGAATAAAGGTCAGAAAGGTGAGAAACAAAGACTATCCAACCAATTGACTGAGTTGTGATCACCTTGACTCCTAGGAGACTAAGTAGATGCATTCAGCTTAAGCACTGAGTTCCAGGGCAGAATCTGCCCATTTTCTGTTTTGTTCTTACTTGTTGCTTTTGGAACGGTGGTAAAGCCACCAGTCAACGTGACCCTTGAAAGGACCTTCACTAATTAGGACTTGATTCATCCTCTTTAAAAAGCAAAAGAAACAGAATTTATTTAAAATCTTCTCATAAATTACCTTTCTGCTACTCTCCTTATTCCCAAAAGGCTTTTTTTTTTGGAGTATTCAGTGCGGATGATTTAGCAGATAAATCCCATAATCAATTGAGGAGGTGATGATGCTATTTGGATTTATTTATGAGAGAGTAGTAATTAGGATGATTCCTAGCAGTTTGTCCTAGTTTGATCATATTGGTTAAGTGGAGTCTCTTCTGATTGGTTGTTTCCACAAAGTATCTATTGTGAATAATTTCAAGATTTCCATTAAAATAGAGCAACTTGGAAAATACTTTAAATTTTATTTCTTAAGGGACCACAGAGCCTAATTTTCCATTTTTATGTTAAGGTTCCTTAAAACACAAATAAAAAAGAATCCTATGTGCCCAAAGGCAGAGGCACCTGTAGCCCTACAACAGGTGGAAGCTCCTTGATATCACAGCCTCCACATAGATAGGCTGGAGAAAGAATTCTGACTTAGACCACCTGTAGCAGATCTTCCTCTTTTGCCATATATTTTTTTATCATAATAAGGACCTGAGACTCCTTATCTGAAGATAAGCCAAACTCGTGGTATGGATTAAGAATCTGGGAAAAAAGAAAAAAAGAAAAAAGATGGAATAAGCAGTATTTTAAAGTACCATGAGTTATGGGCGTGCATATGGTAGAAAGAGTAGTTCTTTGTGTTGAAAGAAAGAAGAGGTTGCATTGAACTGCATGGGCTGCAAGAAGGCAGAGGCATTTAATGTTGGATGGGCTTTGGAAGCATTTCAATAGTAAATGGGTGACAGGTCTGGAAAGATGTGGAATATGAGGGTTTTCCAGGGAGACAGGACTTAATGGGCCATGATGTATTTGTAGAAATGTGATTTCAATAGTTTGACTCTTTTGTCTACTGTGATAAGTTTGCGTAGGGGAACTGAGGAAAACTGAGATGAGATTTCCTAGAAGGGCTACAGAGTACAGTCTAAGGGTTAAGATAAAAGTTTGAAACTTGATTTCGAAAGTCATGGAAAGCCAGTCAGAATTTTAAGCAAAGAGTGATGGGGCAGCAATGGCTGTGCATTTTTCAGGTTGAAGGTAGTGAGATGTCAGTTCTTCCTGGATGATATCATGAGAATGCACACAAAACTGAACATTTTCCTAGCAGCGTGGAGTGCTAAAGGGTGCACACTCCAAGTCAACAACTCACCACGGGCAGCATCTCCCCTCCTCACACATTTTGCTTTGCTTTCTGTCACATGATCATCAAAAACAACGTCCTGACTCTACTGAATTACTAAAATGTCAGCAATAAACTCACAAAGTAGATTAGAGGGTGGGAATAGATGTGTAAATTTTTAAAACCTGCCAATCGTACTATTTTCGAGACAGTTATATAGTAAGAACACGCGACAGGACATCCACAAGTTGTAGAGAATAATTAATAGTTCAGAACTGCCAAATAGGAATTCCCATTATGAAAACATCCTTGTAGCTAATCAGGTAGCCCTTGCTTAGAAACCAGTTAGCACTCATTAAATATTTGTAAAAGGAGCAGGTCGGGGAGAAATGAGCACAATCTAGGTCCTGACATATCAGTTTATAATACAACTAAAGAAAGAAAATATGCCCAAAGCACCAGTAGAGAAAGGGTAAACACTAACAACATAGTTTCGTCATTCAATATGGCAGGAGTTGAAACAAGGGAGAAATGCTGTAGTTTCAAGTGATTCAGCAAGGTAGGATTTCTAGAGAAAGGGGGTTTTAGGAGTTGGATAAGTAGAGGGTCAGTATTCTAGGTATGAAGGCAGGATTATCTGGCATGAGGCAGGGTGGGTGATGTTAGTCAGTAACTGCTAATGGGTATTTACTGAGTAGCCGCTGTGTGCTCATGACTGTAAGACCTTTAGAGGAAGAGGCCTGCCTGCCTAGATGGGAACGCAAGCCACACATATTTGGAAAGATTATGTTGTACAAAACAGGTGTTCAATAAAGAATTTTTGAATACATGTGAACACTGAATAGCAAATAAACATTACGGATTGTAATAGTTGTAGAAAATTATTTGGGATTGTAGGGGCTGGGTGTGGGGCAATGGCTCTGGGTCTAGAAGATGTTCTTTGTGCAGTGAACACACACCTAATCTGTCCTCAAGGACAGAACCATGTAGAAGAATAGGAAAACAAGAGAAGCAGGCAGGAAGGGGAGGCAGTGAGTGGAGCAGCTAAGAAATGTTATATTGGTTCATCCAGAGCAGGAAAAGCTGAGAGCTACACACGCGGGAAGGACCCACAGGCAAGAGGAGTGGGACAGGGGACTGAATGAGTGGGTTACAACAGGCCCTGCAGATGTGGAAGCCAGACCCACAGAGGTACTTAGAAAGGGAGGATCCTGGATGAATTCTCTTCGGGAGAAAGTGTAGGTTCAGGTCAGCTGGCAAATGTGTTTGCGGGCTACAGTCATGTTATTTGGGACTAAAAAGGAGCAAAATAAGTAGACCCTCTTGGGACAGAAGATATAGAGTATGCCAGAACCAGGAAAATGAGAAACAAGAGGGAAATTTTAAGAAAGAGATGGCAAATCATCTGTGAGGTTAGAGATGAACGACGTTGCAGATGGCGAGGCAGAAGTCAAAGGACCCTTTGGAAAGGCAGGAATGCTGCTTCTTTGTCCGTATTTTCAGAGCTTGTCCTGAGGCCTAGTGCACGTGGGCAGTCACTCCGCCACTAAGTGTCACTGTGGCTGCCACAGTGGATGGAAGCTGGTGTGGTGATTGGCAGTCTTTCTGGAGGACTCACGAGGGAGGGGTCTTGAGACGGGCATCTCCTTTCACCTTCCTGTCCATGTCACTGCACTGCTTTTCTTCCCTTCCTGAACAGCACACGCACTGCAGCCTTGGTTTCAGGGGTGTGAAAACAAATATTACAGCCACCTTGCTTTGGTGGCTTTTCTGAACAGGCAGTGTGAGAAGAGATGTTTTGGCCATGTAAAAGTGAGCTTTATCCTAGGTAGGTTTTTCAGTTTAGAAAGGTTTCCTTTGCTTATCCCTTGAGGACTTCTGTGTTGTTGCTTCTCCTCTGTCTTGCTATTCAACAGAACAGGGGTGAAAGTAACGCCAATGCTCTCCGCCATGCCTGCCTTGGGAAGCACTACTGGGCCCCACTGTTTAGAATCTTAGCTGGAAATGTACACAAGGCACTGACACACGCCTGCCAGAGCGACCCAGCGCTCCCCTCCCATGGGATTCAGGGTCGGCATGGGAAGCCAGCTAACAGGGATGGGAGCCCCGCCCACCATGTGGACTGAGCCTCACTTCCATACAAAACCAGAGTCCTGTCCGTCCCAGAGTGGCTCACTCTCCTCCCCTTCCTTCCGCTGAATACAGCCTGACACACTTTTGACCAGAACTGCAACATTTCAAACATAAACCCAGATCTGTTGGGAAATCCTAATTAAAAACGTTACATTCCCAGGTGGCACAATCACATCCTGCCTAAAACTTCTGGCCCACATCCCACCACCCAGATGTTGAAAAGAAACCTTCCTCTACTTAACACCAAAACCTGCACTTCAAGGTTTCTTTAGGGGGACAAAGAAAAAAAAGGTACACACATGCAGAGTTCAGCCTACATGTTCATTAAGGAAAAAGAGCGTGGCTTATTCATCTTTCAATCTTTTGATTGTTGGCATTATGATTATAATTATGATTAATTACTCTAACCTGACAGGAATTGAAGAAGAGAATATATGCTGGTGCTTTGAAATGATCTACCCAACTCTGTCATCTGTAACAACCAGTGATAACTCTCTTGTCTTGTAAAAAGGGTTTGTACATAACTTGTACATGGTTTCATTTTGTATTTTTCGCAGATTAAAAATTTATGTATTTGTGTTCTAAAACAAGGAGTGTTTCTTGTGTCTTTTTAGCAGTCACATGCCATGGGGGTGAGAGGTGGGCTCAGGGTGGCCAGGTCTCTGAGTTCCAATCAACCTGCTTTGTTTCTTCCCTCTATCCTCCTCCATGAAGACAAAGTTGTGGATTGATTGAAACCATGGGTTTCCCTTTGCAGCTTTGAGGGCAATAGACCTCCCACCTCCACGGTCTTCAAGGAGCTGGCCAGTGGGTGCTGCCCAAGACTGCAATAGGCATGGAGGACAGGAAGAGCTACTGTCATTAAATGTGGTGCCTGAGAGCCCTATGGGCTGAATATATTTACTGAATAGCTATTATGGGCTGAACAGTCCTCTACTGGGAGCTGGGAAAACAACAGTGAGGAATTCTGATTCCAGTTCTCCAGCCAGGGCCAGAGGGACACGTGCTCCTGCAGAAGGCTCCAGCAAGCAGGCCACTAAAGAAATGCACAGCATTCAATAGGTCCTTGGAAAGCTAGCTAAAGCATTTCTTTGCTCAGCCACCCACTCTCAAGCTAGTTACCATCCCCTGCCATTTGCACAGAGAAATGGTATTCCTTCCCCTGTGTTTAGCTCATCAAAACCCAGGACAATCTGCTAAAGGTTTGACTCATCCTACTTCACACTCATCCCCAAGAGGGCAACAGATGGAAATTTTAAAAGCAAAAAAAAAAAAAGCCCTTAAAAACTGATGCTGCCATGTGCCATGTTAGGCCATGCTTTAAACTTTCTTCAGAACCTTCAGAGTTTGAACTCTTTTTAGGGGCCTGGACTCGCAAGGGCAAAGCTGGTCCAGCCTAGAGAAAGGAAAGGACCTGGAGAATGGGAAAAAGCCATCCAAGGTATATAGATGTAATGTGCAGGATGTCTTGAGATTTAATGTATTCTAGAGATTGTCCAATTTGCTCATTAGCCAAATATTTACTGAATAGCTATTATGTCAACAGTCCTCTGCTGGGAGCTGGGAAAACAACAGTGAGGAATTCTATGATTCCAGTTCTCCAGTCTGGGGAGGGATGGGACCAGCAAATAAACAAGTGATAGTCATGTGTTAAAATCTGAACTCTAGAGGAAAGCACAGTATGCCACTGGGAACACATCAGAGGGGCACTTAGCTATTCGAAGGGAGTATACCAATTGACAGATATTTAAAAAACAAATTCCCCTTCTACCTAAGCCAATATAAGCTCCAACTGGAACTGATTCCCAGTGGTCAACAAAGACAGGTTTACCTGTCAGAATGTGCTAGTTCCTGACAGTCCTTTGCGCTCCAGTTTCTCAACTTGCCTTCTCCAATATTTGCTAACAAATCTGAACGTTGTTGGGGAATGTAATTGCAGAGCATATGGTCCCCATTAGTTAGGCAAACTCCACTGCCAAATTCAGCTCCAAGGAAGGAGTCTGCATAAAGGATGAAGTATTAGGAAAACATCGACAGTGACAGAGAAGGCAAATAAAAGAGATGAGACCGTGAGTTACAAAATAGCAGCCTAGACAAACTCAGCACAATGAGCGTGGGACATAATTTTCCATTTGTTGAGAAAACAATATATGTGAATTTGTACTAAAATCTCCCTGTAGCAAAAATCAAAGTAGACCATTCACCAGAATCAGTGTTAACTGTTTTACAATATCAGATAAGAGATTCTGCTTGGGAGAAAAACATAGGCGGAATAGAATACAGTCTGCTAAGGCAATACAACACGAGTGACATCAAAATGTAAATATGGACTTAAAGTTATTTTAAATGTTACTGGACCAGCTTTTGAGAGGGGAAACAGAATCTCATGCCCACTAACCTCTCACTTTCAGAGAGTACTAAAACGTAGGCTGAAAGTCAAAGACATGAGGTCCCCCAAGACCCAGAAAAGATGATTGGACAAGGTGGGAGCCTGGGGCTTCATCAGGCAGAAGGCAGATTCCCCATCCCAGTCAAGCTTCTGAAAATCAAAGAGGGACCTGAGCCCAGACTCAGCCTGGCTACTCGGCCTTCTCTTTCAAGGAGCTGATGCTATGGGTCTTTCAAAGTCCACCACATGCCCGCTGGTTTTTGGTCTATTGTAATTAACTCAACCTGTACCTAATTTGGCAGTTTTTTTGCAAAAGAACTTTAATTAGGTGTTTCCAAAAATAATCAACTTCATTTTTCTGGAGTCAACAATCTCCTTCTTTCATTTCTATTTCTCTGGTGAATGTACTAGTTAATTCCATTGCATACTATGATAACAAGTACAGATGCTTAAACAAGCTTGGGAATGCTGGTCAGCTCAGCTGGCAAAATCGCAAAGACATAGGGGGAGTGAAGAGTTCTGCACAAAGCACACAATTTGAGTACACCACGGAAAGCCATCAACTTGTTCACAGGAGAAAGGCGACAGACATCAGCTAATCCAGCTAGTGGATAACTGGTGCTTATTTAAGAGAGCTTTTAAGGGAAATGACTTTTAATATCTGTATATGGGTGACTATTGAAGTGAATTTGTTCATCCACTCAATAGAGTGCCAGTAAAAAAGATGTGAGGTAGACTTAATTATTATATATTAGGGGTTGGTGAACTATGTCTTGAAGGAAAATGCAGCCTGCCACTTGTTTTCTAAAGTTTTATTGAAACACAGCTATGCCCATTTATTTACATCTATAGCTGATTTCCTAATACAATTTAAGGTTCACAAAGCTTAAATATTTACCATCTTACCTTTCACACACAAAAATGTGCTGATTCTTGGTCTATTTTGCACATAGGGAGAAAATAAAATGTATAGTAGAATCCCATTTGTGTTAAACAATTAGGTCTATTTATTCATTCATTAAGATTGGAAAGGAAATAAGGTCAAGTCATAAGCAGTGATTATCAGAGTAGTAGGAAGCAGAGGGGAAAAATTAAGAGACAGGAAGGAATCGTGCTTTTCACTTTATACATTTCTGTTTTTATTTAGGTTTATGTAGATCAAACATGCATAATTTTTACCATTGGAAAAATGTTAAAGATGATTCTTTTAGGAAAATTAATAAATAAGTTTACTTAGCTAATTAAATATATTTATAATAAATCAGAGCTTAAGGTCACCCTGGGTGTAAGTGGCATTGCCAGGATGGGAACACAGTTCTGCTGACTCCAAAGACCATTCCAGAGCTCTGCATCTCATAGATACCTATTTTCAATTGGCCTGTATACGGCAGGAAAGTGTGAGACCATATTTATCTCAGAATACAGTTTATCCAGTACTCTGAGTTTGATGCTTTGCCACAGTTGTTGAGCTCTGGACCTGCCAGTCTAGCAAGCATGAGTCTTATTCCCCAACAAACTGTTCTTCCGTAATTGCAACCCCAGCACCAATGCAGTAGCAGCAGAACTCTACCTGTCCACAGAAGGAGTCTGCAGGACTGAGCTATTTAACGCCAAGGCTCTGGCTACATTCAGTCTCAGGGCTCAACTCGACAGCTCCGCACTGGGTCCCAAACCTCATTCTATTTTGTGCAGTCCTTTTTTTACCAAGGCATCTTCCCAAAAAAGGATATGCCCTCCAAGAATTTTTTGTCTATTAATTAATTAAACCAAAATTAAGCACAATAGATTATGCATACTTTTGGCACATATTTTAAAGGTAAACAATAAACAATGAAAATAAATCTCCCTCCCATTTCAGTCTTAGACATCCAGCTCCCCTCCCTAAGACAGCGGTGGTTAATAGTTGCTTCTTCTTCCTTCCAGATAGTCTTGGCATATACAATCATAACCCAAACATAGCGTGCTATAGACTTTATAACACTCTAAACACGCTCTCTATATCTTTTTAAAACAATATAATGTGTAGATTTCTTTTGTCTATCCATCAATCTTTCTAAGGGCTGCATAGGAGAAAGAGCAAATTTACAAACATTTAAATGGTAAATAACTATAAAAACAAATAATATGAATCTCAAGTCTGCTTAACTCTGTAAAAGTAAATTTTCTAATTTTAATGAAATAAAAACCTTAGGAAAATATAAACTGGTGCTTAGAAGAGAGATAAACAGAAATTAGCCTGTTGCCCTGCAAAAAACAGAAACCATTGTTGAAGCATAAGCACCGCTAATAAAACATGTGTTAGGCCTAGTAATTTTATGGGTGAGTTCCACCCAAAATTTAAAGAACAGCTTGCAACATATATATAAAATACATGTTTCAATATTAGTAATTATTACAGTGTAATTCACCATACTAACAGATCTGAGGTGAAAATCATATTGTAATTTCCATATAGTGAAAGTGATTTAATAAAATCTTACACCTTGATCAAAAATCATAATAAAGTAGATAATTTTCATAACATCATAAACAATTTGTATTTTAAAATCAGCATTAGATATAATGAAAGAACTCCAGAACTCTCCCCATTCCAATAATGATGTTATTGGAAAGTTTAAGAAATTCAGCTAAGAAAGAAAGTTTAAGAAATTTAGCTTTGTTTATTATGTCTGGCTCATTCTATTAGACAATTTAAAAAGTAATGTCTTTAAAAATTGGAACGGAGGCAAACTTTTTATTATTTGCAGATAAATTAAAAACTTAAACGTAAGACCTAAAACCATTAAAACCGTAGAAGAAAACCTAGGCAATACCATTCAGGAAATATACATGAGCAAAGACTTCATGACTAAAACACCAAAAGCAATGGCAACAAAAGCCAAAATTGACAAATGGGATCTAATTAAACTAAAGAGCTTCTGCTCAGCGAAAGAAACTATCGTCAGAGTGAACAGGCAACCTACAGAATCGGAGAACATTTTTGCAATCTATCCATCTGACACAGGGCTAATATCCAGAATCTACAATGAACTTAAACAAATTTCCAAGAAAAAAATAAACAACTACATCAAAAAGTGGGCAAAAAATATGAACAGACATTTCTCAAAAGAAGACATTTATGCAGCCAACCAACATATGAAAAAAAGCTCATCATCACTGGTCATTAGAGAAATGCAAATCAAAATCACCATGAGATAC